AAGATCATCGATGACCAAATTTGGTATATTCCCAGACTGTACTAGTAGTTTATACTCAATAGTTATATAAAGTGTTTCAATTTTTTAAATAGTTATAACTTTTTATCTAAGTGGTTTTAAAAAAATCTAACTAGTAACTTTATATAACTATATTACTGTATTTACATGAAATAATGCACATCTGCATGTTATTTTGAGGTGATGTATATTATTTTGAGTACACGTATAAGCATTATTTCGAGATAAAGGATGCACACCAATCACTGATGGTAAATATCAAGGTGATTTATTAACATTATTATATGGGGTGTGTGTTATTTCAGGATGCATATGAGCGTTATTTTGAAACCAACTATGCTATTTTAAGAAAATGTAATTTTCAAAATAATATCCATATGCATTATTTTGCATAAATACGGTAGCTTTATATATACTAAATATCTTTTCAAAATATCATTACTGTAAAGAGTTGATATATTTTAAAAATTGAAATTTTATATAAAATTTATAAATTTTTATATAAAATTTCAATTTTTAAAATGCATTAACTCTTTATAGTAATAATATTTTGAAAGATATTTGATATATAAATAAAGCCAATATAGCTCTATAAATTTATCAGTCAGATTTTTTTAAAACCTCTTAAAAAATTAAAACATTTTGCATAACTATTAAATATAAACTACCAACACCATATTAGAATTTATACTTAAACAATTATATAGTAAAATCATTTAAGAAAAACTTTTTATTAGTGCATTAAAGGTGGTTTCCTATACAAACTTTTGAGAAATAAGTGATTTTGATAAAAGGGATATTTGTTTTAAATTTTTTTAATCATGTTATATTATACTAAATTATAATATAGATAGATATATAGGCACTTTATTTGAGTGCTAAAAAATTATCCTTAAAAATAATCTTTTATTCAAGAAATGTTAGCTTAGTAATAACTTTTTAAGATGGATAAAAAAAACAAACAAAGGTATTTTTAAAATACTTTTTCAAAGCAGAATGCTCACTACAGTACTAATAAAAATTATTTTAAGATCTATTTGTAGCTTTAAAGCTCTGTTAATATTTGCTATACAAAAACTCTCACTTTTGATAAACTTTGATTAGAAGGCAAAATAGAATAAAATATAGTACATTTCTTTATTAGATCTTGCAAAAAGATATTTAGAAATATTTTGTATAAGAACTTTATTATATTATATTAAATACATTTTGTTTAATTTGAATAGGTATAAGGTTTTTAATAGTAAAAAAAACCAGGTTTAACATTTAAGTTTGGTATTATATTATATATTGTAAATTCTTCAATAATTTTGGGTTTATTAATAATAAATATCATATTTGTCTCGCACGCGTATCTATTTATTCTCTAAACATATATGATGAATTCTTTTGTACGTATTTATTAGTTTGTAAACTTCTTTACTTTTTTTATTTTCGATATTACTGTATTAATAGTACGGTATTAAATGATAAAAATTTTGCAAATTAGCAATTTGATTGGACCAATCAAACAAACTTCTGCCTATGTGGGGTAGATCCGCTTAGACGACCCCGCTTTGTCGAAGTGATATTTTCCAAAAGGGGCTTGACTCGGGTGAAAATAGTATTTAACTTTCGGTAGGACTTTAGACCTTCGGTAAGATTTTGACTTTCGGTAAGACTTTTGACTTTCGGTAAGGGTTACGACTTTTGGCAAGTGTTTCGACTTTCGGTAAGAATTTCGATTTTTGGTAAGACTTTCGACTTTCGGACATTTCGGTACTGAAAGTACCCACTTTTGGAGCCATCCTTAGGCTACCACCATAAATAAGCATTAATCGTCAAGACAATTTACTTACGGAGCATGACATGACACATGTAATTTGATAAATTAAACATTATATCGTCAATATATGATGAAAAGAAATTTATTAAACAAAAATGCCAATACAATTACATTTGAATGTTGTGAAGTGTAGTTCTCTTATATCTATAATAAGGAACAACCGTTACAATAAACTATAAAAAAAATGAAGAACAGTTTACATTAAACGTAATTAAAATTTCTCATTGCTACATATGAAAAAACAATAATCATAATAGTGAAGAGAATAAACGAAAATTAGTGTAAAAAATAAAATTTCAAAATTAACGAATTTCAATGAATTTGTAGGCCCATTGCTTTTAAATAAATTTTTTTACTCTCACTAGTTGATACGTCAGCTTCTATAAACTAGTACCCTAGCCATGGCGAAGAAAATTCGGGTCACGTGGCGATGATCATCCGATTTATCTATTAATGATAATAAATCATTTTTAAATTTTTTAAAAATTTTTTAACTTTGATCGAAGATATCTCGATACCCACCTGACAAAATTCGATCAATTTTT